TGTATAATTTATCAGGTTGATATTTTTATACGGCTTCACTGAACAGATTCTGGACTTGCTGTTCTGGTTGAATCATTAGCAATGGATCTGACTGTTCAAGTAATTAACAAAACTCACCCTTAATTGATCTGAACTGAAGCTGAGGTGGCAAAAGATCCTCTTAAAATGTAGATGAAGGAATTTAAACATTGAGGATATAGGATTGTTAAAACAGAAGGAAATGTATTAGTCCAACAACCTACTGACAAATTATACATACATTATCTCTACGTAAGTCCATGTGTATAGCTAAAGGCTACCTAATAAGAAACAGTGCCAGACAGGAGATACCTTCCTTTGAATTGTTGGTCAGGGTGGTCCAAGAAACTCCCAGATAGTAACCCAGCATAGAACTGGGTTCCTTTGTTCTAAAGGAATATTGGGAACTGATTGCTGCTGGATGAGGAAGAGCTGATCTTCCAAAAACAAGGAACTCTAGATAGGCTCACTAGATTCAGATGATGGACAAGCACTGGGGAATGGCTGGGGGTGCTGATAACACAGTGGACAGTAACAGGGATGACAGAGTATATGGGCTCCAGTGGCGGGGAGGGGCTACAGGAGGGTGCCATTTGGGAAGTGAGTATATAGAGGAATAAGACTGTGTAGGAAGTTCTGTATGATATACACACAGAAAAATCAACAATTTTTTTAAAAAAGACATATTTGAGGCGGAAGCATAGAAATTTACTTCATGTTATATAGAGGTGATAAACATTACCAGTGAAATCTACCTGATGACTTTATATCCATACTTGGTACTAAGGATCACTAAGGATCTGTGTATAACCGACTGTGACTAGTAATAATCAGATACATAGAGATTAGAGATGTATGTGCAAACATCTAAGTGTTAGTAGCATTAAAAATGAGTCTTTCTGTAGGAAACAGTATATTTTAAAATGAAATGGGGACCATTTTTAGTGGTTAAAACCTCATTCAGTTTTAGCTTACAGGGTTTATACTGAGTTCAATATGGTATAGCTATATTAATTCAACTGTGAACCTAAAATTTTACAGCCACTTTTGAAAGGGATGTATCTTTGCTCTGGAAATTGTCATTGAATATGTTAAAGCTGTAATGAAATGCTTCTAATCATGTTTTTATTAAGTAAATAATTTAAAAACGAACAAAAACAAAAGTTACTCTCAAAGTTCTAGAGGCTTTGGGAAGTCTCCTCTAGCTTCCGGTGGCTCTGGGGACCCTTTGGATTAGAGATATAGCACTGCCATCTCTGTCCCATCTTCATGAGGCCCTCTCTCCTCTGCCTTACATCTCCCACCTTTCTTCCTAAGACCTCCATCTTTGGATACAGCACCCACCCTAAACGTTTAATCCTAGATGATTCTGCCCTGAGATCTTTAAGTTACATCTATCTGTCATTAAGACATCTGCAGGGACACATTTCTAACCAAGATCACTTTCATAGTTTCCTAGTTGGCATGTCTTTGGGGGGTCACTATTCAAGTCATTACAGAGAGAAGAGGGAAGTGATATAGAGGAGTCTCATGAACTGAATGGCTTCATAAGCAACTTCTGCCTTCAGTGTCTACATAGGAACCACTCAGATGGGAGAACCTTGGGGCCTCAGCTGCCTCGGGACCACTTACTCCTGTGCTGTTTTGACTCTGCAGGTGGATGGGAGGAAGTACCCTAACTCGGAAGATGGCATCCAGGTGGTGGTGATTGATGGGAACCGAGGGCACGTGTTGAGCCACGGGAGCTTCAGGAACACCATTCTGCAGGGCATACCCCGGCAGCTCTTCAACTACATAGCAGCTGTCCCTGACAAGTAAGTGCATACCTCTGCTTCTGGAACTGTCCAGTGACACAACAGACCCTTGGCTAGGGCCTTGGCTCTTGTATGCAGACTCATATGATACATCACGGTCTGGGTGATCTGCCCACAGATCGTGCCTGTTGGGATGAGAAACCTTCATGTCTGTTGGCACAAATGCTAGAGCCAGGGCTGCTGTGGATATAGGTCAGGCTGGGGCGGATAAGACTGCGCCTTACATGTGGGAAGGCTGCCTGGCTCTCTGCCCCCATCACAACACACTCTTCTAATGATCTCATCCCCGCCCACATCTCCAACACCATCCAAATGCTGGTGGCCTCTGTAACTCTTCAGCCTAGATCTCTTTCTAAGCCCCACACAACCCCATCCAACTGCTGCTTAGAGATCGCCACCTAGATGTCTCCCATGGAACTGAATCCTCATCCTTTGAAATCTTTCTTTTTATTATTTCAGTCCTTCAAATCAACCACTCCTCCTGTTTTCCATGTTTTCATTAAATCATTATCCATTCAGATGGAATCTGGGCTTCACAATGGACACCTCTGTTTCTTTTACTGCACCCCTATGTTCTAATACAGCCAATGCTGCCTGCATCATTCCCCTGCCCAGGTCCCTCCCTTGTATCTTCTCTAGCCCTGCTCTATCCCTGTTGGTCTCCATCGCCATGGGCACAGGCTCCTTACAGGCCTCTTTCTTCCCATCTCCCATATTGGCAGCTAGTTATAGCTTCTTAAATATTGAGCTTCCCCATGGTCTCTCCCCACCACCATTCAAATCTAACACACTTGTTGCCTCCTCAATGCAGTCTCTTCCCATCCAGGCTACCATTCTCCATTAAAACACTGCTTGAAACAGGTTGGAGGGGATGCCCTCATCTGTTACCCAATCAGGAATCAGACTTCTTGATGTTGGTACTACTGGGAACTTACCTGTGCGTGTCTACTATCTGACCAGTTACATGGGTGTGGAAATTGCTCTGGAGCCACAAGCTAGTGGAAAACCTGTGTCATTCATGTGGTATCTGTCACAAGTAGGAACTTAGTAAATAGTTAATGAGTGGAAACAAATGCCCCTCTGGATGCTCTCTTTGGCCCTGGGTAAACTGGACTTGATTTGAGATTCTGGAGACTGGCGTGTTGCTTAACCACATATGGCATCCGTTTTTCCCTCATCCAGTGCTTCTTTCACATTATATTTGTGTGAATATGTGCAGGGGTGAATGGGTACTGGGATCAAGAAATAGGCCTCAGAGTTACTGTGTTTGGAGTGGGGTGTGGGACTCCTTGCAGCCTTTGCACCTATCTGGGAGAAGTGTGGATGGTCTGAACTAGGTGTGGGCTAGTAGCGAGTACTCAGTGAGGAATGGGTGTCACTTACCCCTCTATGGCATCCTGGGAAGTGGCAAAAAGTGGGACTGGACAGGTGCTTCTGTCCTGTGGCTCTGATCCAGCTAGGCCTATTCCACTCTCCACATCCCATCCCCAGGACCACCACTGGCCTCAGGGTCCCAGCCATTCATACCATAGACACTGGGGATAGCTTCTGGGAGCTGCCTCTGACCTGCCACCTGTGGAAGGGTGTGCTAGATGGCATAGGGGCTGAGTGATCAAGAAAATAATAGGGAGACCTTGATGTGAGTGGCACAGGGAGGCTGGGTAGTGAGAAGGTTATCTCCTTGCTTTACTCCTGTCAACTGGCCCAGATGCCATCATGAGGGCATGACCTTCCTTTGAGCTCACTGAGCTCAGCCATGGGTCTGCAGTGTTTGTTCTGAGACTTAACAATGGGGAAATTTCCTCCTGGGAGCAAAGCCTGGATCCACCACCAAGGATGTGTTTGTGGATGAGCCCTTTCTTGGTAATGGGCCTCTCCCTGCCAATCCCTTGGCCCTCCCCCTCTTGCCTTCTTAAAGAGCCTGAGGCAGCCCCCAGCTACCTTCCCAATGGTCCTTGTTACACACTAGCCCTTTGCCTTTAACAGCTCTTCTGTCATTCCCGCCCTCTTGCCTTCTTAAAGAGCCTGAGGCAGCCCCCAGCTACCTTCCCAATAGTCCTTGTTACACACTAGCCCTTTGCCTTTAACAGCTCTTCTGTCATTCCCAATGGGACATAAACGGGGGTAACAGCAGGTTCCAGAATCCCATACAGTTTTTCCATGTCTGGACTGTGGTCTGTGGTTACAGAGTTCCTTTGAGATGGGAATTGGAAGCCCCATGGAACTTCTGCCCCATTCCTGTTTTAGAGGGTGGTGCTCATTCCCCATGTCTGACCTAGCATGAGTCTGCCCCCAAGGAGGCTGTTTTCCCAGCACTGGGGGTTAAATACAGCCTAAGGCAGAACAGACTCCCCATTCCCCTGGAGACTTCTGCAAGTTGGGTTCTTCTGTTTCCAGACCTCCTGAGCACAGGCCCCTTTGGGAGGCACTTGTAGATACTGTATAACTGCTCAATCTTCCATTTGCAAAAACAGACAGATCTTTTCTCACCAGAGAGAGAGATGACACACAGCAGAGGCCATTCTGAGCATGTGGTAACTACTGTGTTCTTCCCAGAATGATCTCAAACTGGGCCATGCTCTTCCAGCAGCTGTAAGGAGGCCAGCTCTGAGCCACATAAAGCCTGGTGACCACCCTCAGAAACCAATAAAGGACATAGAATCTCCATGTTTGCTGTACAAGCATGAGGACCTGAGCTCAGATTCCAGCACCCATGTACAAAGCCATGCACGGCCACACCAGTGTCTGTAACCTGGGGATGGGGAGGGCAGAGATGAGGGTTGCTCGGGCTTGCTGGCTGCCAACCTGGGACTGGGGTCAGTGAGAGACCCTGTCTCAAGTGAATAAGGAAGAGAGCCGTAGAGCAGGGCAGCTGATATCTTCCTCTGGCCTCTGTGTACCCACACACAAAAATGCATACATCACACACTGACATACCGAGAGAGGGAGGGAGGGAGAGAGAGAGAAAGAGAGAGAGAGAGAGAGAGGAGAGAGAGAGAGAGAATTTGTAGGAAACCTAGCATAGGGCATGGCCGCTGTCCCCATGCATAAGTTTCCTGAGATCCTGTGGAAACAAAGCTTAGAGATCAGACGGCCTGTTGTGGTTGGCTGGGCAGTTCCTATGAGCTCTCAGAGCCACAGCAGCATGTCTCTGAGCCCCATGCTGTCAGGTGCTCTGGGTGGCTTTGTGGTTTGACCACTGCCCTGTTCTCTGCCCTTGTTCCCCCTTTCTCCTTCTCTGCTCCCCTCAAGCTGTCTTGACCTTTCGCCATCACTGTGCTTCTATCCAGAGTTGAGAACATGCAAATGAAGAAGTACATACTAGTCATGCATGGTGATACATGCCTGTGATCCTAGCATCTGGGAGGCAAAAGCAAGAGGATCAGGGGTTCCTAGCTACATAACCAGTTAGAGGCCAGCCTGGGCTACATGAAATCCTGTCTCAAAAATCAAAGAAAGGAAGGGAAGGAGGGAGGGAGGGCGGGAGGGATATGAAGTCATACTGTGAGCCCAGCCCCAAGGTGCTGCGCCTCTTACACATACTCTCTCTTGCTTGGAGGCAGACATGTGCAAGCAACATGCCATGTAGGTTTGAGAAGGCCAGGGGAACCAAATGTGGCCAGATGTCAAGACAAACTCAGGATGCTTGTCACTGAAGGAAGAGTATGCCCATCAAGACACAGGGGAAGATGTCCTTTCTCAAATCCCTGGCTGGGCCCGTAGCACTGCTAAGGCAGGTTCCACCACACATGGGCCAGTGTCCCTCCCTCACACCCCTTGTGGCAGTTTACTCCCTCATTCCAGTTGTCTAATCTGTCCCTTCTCCCTCAGTTCCATAGTTCTCATGGCATCAAAGGGAAGGTACAGCACAAGAGGCCTGTGGACCAAAGTGCTGACAAAGCTTGGGGCTGACAAGTCTCTCAAGTTGAAAGGTAAGTGTTCCAATGTTGCATCGACCTGGGAAACAGAGCAGATGAACAGTGTGGAGATGTGGCTGTCCCTTCCTGAGTCTAGGACATTCTCTTCCACTAGGCATGGGTACAGCCCCAAATCCTCAGCACAGCCACAATGGCCTGTACCACCTGCTTTCTATCTCTGTACCAAAATATATTCATTTTCACCTGTGACTAGACACTGGAAGAATACTGCTAGAGCTGTTCTCCCCTCTGTTCCACAAGTGGCCCTTTATTCAACAAATGTGTCATCAGAAGCTGCCGTTGTCTGGCCTTCCTGCCCAGATCCCGTATTCAGATATCCCTGTGGAATATGCTGTGCACCTTGCAGCTCATACCTGATTTTGTAGCATCTTTTATACTTTACAAAATTCTTATTGGTCATCTAAGATAGGAAAAGAAGGGGCCAGAGAGATGACTCCATGGTTAAAATCACTGGCTTCTCTTGCAGAGGACCTAGGTTTGGGTTCCATCACCCACATGGTGGCTAACAGCTGTCTGTATCTCCAGTTCCAAGGGATCTGACTCCCTCTTCTGGCCTTTGCCGGCATTGTACAACATGGGAGCATGCTGGCAAAACACTCATCCACATAAGATAAAACTAAATAAAACTTTTTAAAGATAGGAAAAGGAGAATCAAAACCCAGAGACCAAGGTCACACAGCTCTTCTGAGATGAAGTGCAACATAGACTTCCTGGCTGTGCTAGAGGAAACTAGCCAGGACATAAATGTCCATATGATGGTTATTGTCACAGATTTCAGAGTGAGACACTGAAGCGGCTGCAAGGAGAGGGAGCAGACATATATTTGATGACTGTTACAGCTACTGTTTCATGTCAGCCTTGCACCTTGAAAAATTCTAATGATAATTAGCTCACGCATTCATGTACTTGGGCAGCAGGCTCGGTTCCTTCCACATATGAGGAAACCAAGAGTTGCACAGTGAGGTATTTGCTTCAGCTGTGATATGAAACTCATTTTTCCTGAGCCAAGTTACTGATTGTGAAAGATGTTATGTCTTGATTATGAAAGATATTAAAACCAGTAGCCTATTACCTGGATGTTTATCCCAGGCAGCAGCTGGTGAAAAATCAGGAACTCAGCAAGTCTCTCTTGGCAGAGGATGGAGTAAAGGTTCTTTCCTGCCAGCCCCAGAGCTCTTTGGGGACTTTTATCAGTTAAATTAAGATGCTGTTGCCAAAGGGGCTTGTGTATAAGGTGACCAGGGTCAAATGGTTCGTGTCCAATGGTGACAGGTGTGTGCTGCTGGCCAGGCCTGCTTCATGTAGACATGGACGGACCACACCATGTACTCTATGCCCTGGGCAGATCCCTCCCTCCTAAAGTCACATGGTGACAGAGCCCAGGACGGAGATCTTGCTGATAATGGCCACAACCACACAGATAGGAGCCTGGGGCTACAGAGTCTTGCTAGTGATCATTGGTCACCTAGAAAGTAGGCAGGGGTTCTGAGAGCTCTCTTCCCTCCCTCCTCATCCACCCTGTCTGCTGCTATGCATGGCTTTCCTGTGCCAAACAGAGCTACCAACCTATTGAGATGGACATGGTACTCAGGTGAGACCTATAAAAAAAGATGTCAGATCCCAGCAGCAGCTGGGCCTAGAGCTCTGCCCAGAGGAACAGGGTCCAATGTAGCTTGGGAAGGGGTCCCTATGGGGGCCAGAGTGTGCCTAAGGGGAGGGAGCTCTAGGGTGTGGCATGCAGCTACTCCCTCCTAGCTTTTTCATTTTGACCCACATGATTCATCATCATTTTTTCAGAGAAAATGACATTTGTCGGCTTCAAAGGTAGCTTCCGGCCCACGTGGGTGACTCTGGAGACTGACGACCACAAGGCCAAGATCTTCCAAGTGGTGCCCATCCCTGTGGTGAGGAAGAAGAAGCTGTGAGTTCAGCTCCTACCTGGTACCGCCTGGGGCTGGCCTCCTGCAGCAGCCCAGGACAAGATGGCTGGATCCCCTGGCCCCTGTCAGCCCTACTGGGTCAAGGGACAGATATCAGAGACCTTGGTGCTGCCACCTGCCCCTACACAAGTCTACCTGCAGCCCCTGGGCAGTGTTGGGTGATGCTGCAACTGCCTCTTGGGTGCTTCTCTCCTATCTGTGCCTCATCAGTGGAGATATGGGGACCATATGAGGAAACCTCAGTTGTGCTGGCAGCAGAGGGCCACTTGGGCAGGAATCTGGACCCAGCTAGTAGGTGGCCTGGAGAGTGGGGCCACTCACAGATCTCCACAGTCACCTGGAGATACATTTGGTGGCAGATGTAGGGAAAGACATCTTTATTCCTGTAAGCAAGGACCGGGGTTCTTGGGATTAGGAACTGGTATACAGACAGAGCTGGCCAGAGGTAGGGGACTGGCAATCCTGGGGAGGAGATCGGCCCTCTGTCTGGTGGGGCTCCCCTCTTAGGAAGCTTCATCTGGCATAGTGGGACAGGACTAGATGGCTCCCAGAGACCCTTTCTGAGATTGCAGAAGTCTATGGCTTTGTGCTCTATGCCTAGAGTCTAAGGAGAAGAAATCACTCTTTATAGCCAACATCTACACTGCAGGTGCCCTGAGTACATGGGATGGAGAGAGGAGAGCTCACACCTGGATGTGTGGGGTCAGCAGGTAATAGGCAGCTAGGTCTCAGTGCACTCTGACACCAGATGGAGAGTTCAGAGAGAAGTGACATAGTTAACCAATGCCAGATCAGAGGAGGGGAAGTTCATACTGCTCAGAATGAGGAAGGCTTCATCTGAGAGGCCACAGTGCTGGCAGGAATGCAGGGTGGAAAGCACTTGGGTGCAGAGAGATAAAGTGGTCTCTAACATGGCTCAGAGGAAGGCTTTCCTACCATCAACTGCAACAGCTAAATCACCACAGAGTTGCCTTTTGCTTGCCACAGCTGACCCACTTGTGACAGAGAAGCAGGGTCAGAAGGGAGGACTGGGCTATGCTATGAACACATAGAGCCTATGGACGTCGGACCCCAGCCACCTCCTCTTCTGACTCTAAGAAGGATCACATTCACAGACCAGAGGCCCTGCAACAGGCCTCCTATGTACTCACCCAGGAACCGAGTGGAGAAGGACTCTGGGACACCTGAGCATGCTCATACCACAGTGAGTGTGGGGTGTCAGAGATAGAGAGGGCCTTGGGGGCTCCTTAGTGACCACCTAGTTCAGAGATTCCAACCTATAGCTGAGGAGAGTGAGGACTGAGGTGGGAAAGAACCATCCATCAGATCTGGGAGCCCTATTCCCAGTATAGGCTGCCAGGCCACACTGCCTCAACTACCAGCCCTGGGTACCCAGTACTCTGGAAGTAACTGCTGGAAAGGGGAACGTCTGGAAGAGGAGAAAAGGACCAGAGTAGAAGGGTTCCTAGTCAAGGGCTTGTCCCTGTCGCTCCTTTGTGTACACTGCCTACTCTCCTCTCCGCATCGTGGTCTCTGTCACCTTCCCTTTATTCACACTGCCTGCCACACTCTGGCATGGGGGTATTCACAACTCTGGGAATCCCCTGGTGCTACCTCCTTCCAAAGTGGTGCTGGTATGTCCCAATGGATGGCATTAGAATGTGCTAACATGCTTCTGGTAAGCCAAATTGGCTCCACATGGGGGTCTTGAGAGTGGTTGGATACAGCCCATGGCCTCTCAGTTAGTGTTCACCCTTGTCTGCCATGAAGTCAGCTCAGAGAGCCAAGATGAGTGGAAACTGTCTGTGGTCAATACTCACTCACAAAGCACCAGGGTCTCTCTGGGTTCATGAATAACATGAGTCCCCTTTCCTCCCCAACCACAAACTCTTTCCTTCAAAGAAGGTTTACTTGGTCCCCTCTGTCCAGTGATGCCTAGGAGCCTTAGTACCTAGTACCAGAGTCCCCTCCCCAGGCTGAGCCAACTCCCAGAGGGGGCTTTCCCACTGAGTGGGTCTTCCAGCTGCTGGAGGGAGCTATAAGACCCTGCCTCTTAAGACGTGGCTGCTTTGACAGCCAACTTCAGAGGAAAGTCTTCTTCTGAGGAAGTAAGGGATGGTGGGGAGGGAATCTAAAAGTGACCTCATGTCTTTCTTGTCTAAGTCTCATTGAGTTTCCAATACAAAGGTCTCACACTGTGAACCACTTAAGATGAGATCACTTTCAGGTGGCCATGAATGTTGAATGTCTTTGGCTCAGTTCAATTCAGAAAATATCTATTGAAAAGTTCTCAGAGTTGTACATATGCTGAACAGTACCAGGTTCTGTACAGAAAACTTTCTTTCCTAAACCATCAACCAGGAGCTAATGTCCAGGCATTTTACTTGGTAGCACAAATCTCCTCCTTGCTTAGAAAGTTGTTCTGTCCTTTCTGTCTGTCAGTGTCCCCATTGAGTCAGGAGTCTTTGAGGAAAAGTCTTCTGAAATGCCTGTCTTCTTCCTGTTGCCGAAATAGCTGGTCCTTTTTTGGGACTTGGATGCCTAGTGTGTTTTGTATGTAAATAGTTCTTGTAGGTGTCAACATGAACAAAGATATATTTTATATTTATTTATTGTATATGTACTTCAAGAAGTCAGAGAAGTGAAGAATTGTTTTAAGTGTTATGTTTGAAGATGTCCTTTGGACCACTCAGAAGGAGTGTGCCCAGAGCCAAGGACATCAGCTCTGGTTTGGAAAATCCTCTGTATCATATTAAACATACAAAGAATGTCATTGTCTCATCTGCTTGTTTCATTTTCTGTTGGGGTGGGTCTCATGGTACACCAGTTGTCTAAGGAAAGATGGAAATTACTCCATCACTCCGAGTCTACCCCAGTTACACCTTGGTCTTGTTCCCAAGAACTATTTACATATCAATATCCTACCCTCCCATCCAGTAAGACTGCCCAAGAAAGCAGATGGAGTGGTCCTTGGGCAGAGAAGACACCATCCACATGACCATTCAAGACAGAATTTGCTTCATCTTCAAGTCCCTGAGCCATTAGGAAGTTATCAGTCTTAGCCCTCCTACTGGAGAAGCTGAGGGGGAGAGGTGGAACATCAAGGTGGGGGCTAGAAGACTGTTTTTCCTCCCAGACTCTGACCAGAGGACAAATACCATGTCTGAGAAGAGCATGGTCACTGAGGTAGAGAAACAAGTCCAAAGCAAGCTGTCCAATAAGATGGAGGATTAGGTGGAAGGCACCCCTAGTTGGAGGTGGGAAGGGCTCTGGAGAGGAGTGAGGGAGGTACAATGGTCACAGTGGGGTGAGATGATCTGGACCACTTGTGGGTACTGATATTTGATTAACTTACATACAATTAAAAATCCATGAGGCTGGAGAGATGGTTCAGCGTTTAAGAGTACTTGTTCTTGCAGAGGACCCGGGTTTGGTTCCCAGCACCCACATCAGGCAGCTCACACCTGCTTCTAACTCCATTTCCAGGGGATCCAACACCGTCTTCTGGCCTCTGCAGGCACTGGCATACACATGGTGTACATCTATACATTTGGGCACACACATATACACGTAGAATAAATAAGTCTTTTTTAAAATAATTAAAAAATCCAGGTCCTCATCTACACTGGCCACACTGCAAATGCTCCACTGCCACAAGTGTCTAGTGGCCACCACTGTGGTTGCAGTGACATAAAACATGTCCACCATCAGCACAAGGCCTCCTCTTGATACCTTCTGGAAAGCTGCCGACACTCATTGAGATTTAAGAAAATCTATTAGCCTACTGTGGGCAAGTTTGTGTGTGTGTGTGTGTGTGTGTGTGTGTGTGTGTGTGTGTGTGCAATCCACTTAAAGGAGCTGGTACCAGGTTAATGGTATTAAGCTGTCAGTACACAAATAATTGAGTAATACAGCTTTGGATATACTATGTGAGCAGTATAGAGGTGACTATATGACCCCTGCCTTAAAGAAACTTCATCACTGGATTTGATGGCTTACATCTGTCATCCCAGCACTAGGAAGGCCGAGTCAGGAGGACTGTGAGTTGGTGGGCAACCTGAACTATATAGCAAGGTCCTTTCTTGGGCTTCTGAGATCGGTCAGAGAGTAAAAGCATTTGCCATGCAAGCCTGAGGGCCTGAGTTTGATCACTGGAATCAATGGTAGAGGGAAAGAACTAATTCCCAAAAGATGTTGCCTGACTTCTACACATGCACTGTGACATACACTGTGCCCGAACACACACACACATAAATAAATAAATAAATAAATAAATAAATAAATAAATAAATAAAATTTAACTTAATAAAGACTATCTTAAGAACAAAGAGACAGAGAGAGAAAAATAAACAAGTTTAGCAGCAGAAAATCACATTTGCACGCTTCTACTCTGCTAGGCACCAACACAACGAGGAGCATGGTGAACATGTCAGGGCATGCCCAAGGAGGAGCATGGCTGGTCTTTAAATAGAAAGGAATTACTATCAGCTGGAATGATCAGGAAGGCCAATGAGCAGGGTAGGCAGACCAGAGTTGACAAAGGAGTCAGTCATGACAGGAGAAGGGCTTACAGTCTGTGCAGCGAGGTGATCAAGGGTGTGGGCTGGAGGGCATATGAGCATAAATCACTGAGCATTGCAAAAGCGAAGGTGGGCGGGTGGGCAAGGACACATAAAGGCTGACTTAGCGATCACTGGATTTGATGGATGATGGGGAGAGGCTCCCTAGAGACTTCTCAGCCAGAAACCTCTCCCAGCCCCTTCTCCTTCTTCTTCATCTAGGAGGGAATTTATTGAAACAATTTCATACCTTTCTAATTAAGCCATAGCTAAAAGAGAAGCAAGGATGCTTGTATCAAATAAAAGATTGTTGCAGCACAATGCCAAATTCTGCATGTGATTAGGAAAGTACTACAATTTTGATGAATGATGTATCTTGCAACTCACATTTTTAAAAATTTTTTATTATTTTATTTTTTGTGTATGAGTGTATGTAAGTGCACCTGTGTTGTATAATGCCCAATGATTTATGCTCATACATCAGAAGAGGGCATCAGATTACCCTCAAACTGGAGTGACAGATCACTGTTAGCCACCCTGTGGGTGCTGGGAATCAAACCCAGGTCCTCTACAAGAGCAACCAGTGCTCTAAACTGCTGAGCCATCTCTCCAGCCCCACAACTCACATTTATAGCAAGTATTTTTGTAATGTTGTTTAGCTTATTTGGAAGGCAAGATGAAACGTCATCTCTATCTCACAGAGATCTACCTGCTTCTGGCTCCCAAATGCTGGGAATAAAGATGTGCACCACCATAAAGATATGCTGGGCTGTGAAACACACTTTTAATTTTCAAACCTGTACACTGATTTTTGTATCAGCTTAGATTTTCATATCAATTATAACTACAAGAACAAAAGCCCCACCAAGAGAGCTAGTCAAGGTAGTAGCAAAGCATCCTGGTGGGGGGTGAGTACAGGGTGGGCTTTGACAGAGGCTGCTGGGCCACAGCCACCACTCCTAGTTGGATCCAAAGCAAAAGAAGCCACACATGACCAGAGTGGACCCAATTGCTTCTTTGGCAATCACCAAGTGTCCACTGGAGGCACTATAGAACCATTAGGCAAGCTCTCTCTGCCTCTGTCCAGATGGACCTGTGAGGATGAATGGATGGATGGATGGATGGATGGATAGATGAATGAATGGACGGATGGAGGATGTGCTCTATGTGGCCAGTCTAGGGGCAGAGATGAAGGGGTGGTAGGTCAGTCTCCATGAAATGAATGGGATGCACCAGTGAAAGGTCAGAAGGACACTGCCACTTGAAGGCCCAGAGCTATAGCCTAGAGGCAAAGACACAGGATGAACACGGGGGTCGGAGGGTGGGGAGGGGGGATCCCACAGCCCAGGGGAAATTGGTTGGGGAGGTTCACTCAGGGAGTACTTGGGTAAGAAAGTCAGAGCTAAGATGGCTTAAATGTACCACCTGCATGCTGTCCAAAGCAGGCGCTCTGGAGAGTTTGTCTTTATGACCAACAAGACAGTCTGGCTGGGTACACAGGTGCCCTTAGATGGTAAATGTCTTCATCTCCATCTGTGTCACCCACTCTGGTCCCTAGCTAAGCCCTAAGTGCACAGAACACTTGTTACCCCTACAAGTTCCAGCATCGTAGTGACTGGAGTTGCAGGTGGTTATGAGTGCCTGGTGTAGGTCTTCTGCAAGAGCAGTATGCGCTCTTAACTGCTGAGCCATCTCTCCAGCACCATGTGCTGCATTCTAAATAAGACTCAGGACAGTTTTTTGCATGGTCAAGTGTGAGAAGTACCCGAGACTCTAAGACTCTATCTAGGAAGTGGGAGTGGCCTAAGACTGATAAAAGGGCTGCTTAGCCATGATGGTGAAGAATTGGAAGTTGTCTAGCTGTTTCCCCACTACCTTACAGCCCCTGTCTCCTGTCTTTTCCCCTCACCAACTTACTAAATTCATAGAGACAAGGAACCAACCTATCTACAGAGAAATTCATGGTTAAGTATCATTTAGGGTAAGAACAAAGGAAGGTGGTCTGGTATCCAATTGCTTGGAAGGGGTGGCATTGGGTATTCTTTGAAAAGATGATAGTGAGGGGTTCTCTAAATCAGATATCACAAAACTAAGAATTCTAGGATGGGGAAGAGGTGTCAGGAGAAGAACTGGCCATAAAGCCTGAAATGACAGAGATATGGAAAGAAGCTTTGTGAACATCGACACAACATTGGGCCTAGGCCAGAGAGTGAAATTCAGAAAGGAAGCTGGGTTATTTAATATGTAACCCTAAGCAGCACAGTTACGAGAACGGAGCAAGTAGAAAAAGTTGTGTAGCTTCTCCTTCTTCCTTGTGGGAGGAGAATGTGTTTTGTTGTTCTAGACGTTGATAGGTCTGTAATTACAGGTTTAAGAATGAAAACAAAAACTAACGATGATAATTAGTCCTACTCAAAATGAGACGTCTCCTTTCCAAACCACGGCAGAGGCAGAAGATAAAAGCAAAAAAATACAGTCCGGTGGGAGATGGCAAAGAAAGCCTGGCCTGAGAAAACAAAGATGACTTCATGGCACGTGGGCAGTAGGCAGGAGGAGTCCAATGAAGGATCCCCAGCAGCATGAAAATAAGCTGCTTTGTGAAAAATCAAAGACTAAAAGACTGCACTGAGAAAGTGAAATTAAATCATTAGCTGTCTACTGGCTTACTGATATGAACATTCATTATTTGAGTGATGTCAGCTTTTACTTTATTTTAAAAATATTTTATGTGTATGAGTGTTTTGTCTGCATGTATGTAACTGCACCACATGCATGCAATGCCCATGGAGGCCAGAAGAGGGCATCGGATCCCCTGGAACCAGAGTTATGGACAGTTGTTACCCACCATGTGACTGCTAGAACCCAAACCTGAGTCCTCTGCAAGATCAACGAGTGCTTCTAACCACTGAGCCATCTCTCTTGACCCCCTGTTTCCACTTCTCAACCTCCTTCATCTAACCTGATGTAGCCATTCTCATTTGTTTCCAACTCTACAAACATCTAATGTGAAACAGAATGCATTGGGGTTCTCCAGAGAAACAGAAGCAAAAAGACACACACACACACACACACACACACAGATTTATTATGAAGAATCTGTTCATGGAATCACAAAGACTGGTAAGTCCTAAGATCTGCAGTTGGCAAACTGAAAACCCAAGTGAGCTGATGGTTTACTTCCATTTTAAAGGCCAGCGG